TGGCTGACCACTTTCCAGCTTAACAATTTTAGCCTTAACAATCTGAGAGCTCATTTTTGCATATCTAGAGAGAGAGAACAGTGAAACTGTATGAGTTACCTAATCAGTCTTGCATATCATAGTCTAGGACAACCCTTGTCACAGAAATTTGTTTATTCTATGTTTAATGAGCTTAAATGGGTGTCTATAATAAGGAAACAGCACGGAGGGGGGAAATGAAATACATTCCTCTGCATTTGATACTTTGGAGTAGAGTGCAGCAATACTATAATGTATAACAATGGCATAGAACCAGCAGCCAATAATAAAATGCTGTAACATGAGGCATCTCCTCCAACAAAGACCAAGAATGTTGTCTCCACAATGCTTCTAAGCTCCATGCCTTGAGAAACCAGCATCTATGTGCTATTGGGATTATCATATAATGTTGAGTGCTTTTAGCAAGATACTCTGTAAACTAAAGCAAAACTTTAAGGCATGTCTCTAAATGCAGCAGAAGTACTCTAAAGCTCTCATTATGAGAACAAAAAGTAAGTGTCTAATTAATGGAATACAGAATATTGCAGAATATTATGGAAAAAATAGATATTTCTAGTATAAAACCCTGTGCTAAACCAGGACAATCCACCCCCCTAAGCTCCCTGCAGGTTTGCTTCCATGATCCAGACAGACCACAGCATGCTGCAAAGAGAGCAAGCGCATTTCTGAAAGGTGGTAACCAAAGAAATTGATTGATATGGCTTGTGCAAATAGACGTGCAATGCATTTCATCAGAAGGCAAAACAAAACACGAAACAAAACCCACACGTCCCTGGTACACTGCTCAGGTTTACAAAGGAAAAATTCCTTAGATGGCTGAGGATGTTCTATGCGACCAGTTTTGTGTGAATGCAGGCACACTGGTTGAATATGGTTTGACCGTCTCCTTCAATATTTTGCTTCTACTACAGAATATCACTTCTTCCAGGCACTGAAAACAACAATGTTTTGCACTTGGAAATACGAAATTTCTGTCCTTGCAGTCCCAAGCAGCAGTTACATGGCAGCAGTGCTCAGCCACTGTATGAAGTGTGATAATTTTTACACTGCAATACTTTGGAGGCTATGAGAGCACAGCTGTTGCATAACACGGTGGATAGCCCCACCCCTGGTTAAAGCTGCATAATATTCTGGGCTCCACTGAAGGGAGACCTTCTTTAGGTTCGGAGTAGAAACACGCATTAAGTTTCACAGAGACTACAAATGTACCTTAAGTATATTGTTCATACAGTCACAAAAACAGTGATGCACAGTTTATATGGAAGTGAGGGGAGCACATTCCTTAGAAGCTTTTAGGGAGCACTGTAAGACATTTCATTCAGCAGAGCTCTTCATGGAGTATAGGTTTGCAGGCATTTTATTACATCAGAAGGGATTTTGGGGTTTTATTGCTGTTTGATGCTTCGTTATGTAAGCTGCCTTGAGCCATGGGGGGGGGGAGGTAATGACATTTAATTATGTAAATATTAAAATAAAATATAGCCCATCCTTTAATCATGGTTAAGGAACCAGAGACAGGCTGAATATCTATCCTCTCTCCCTAGCAGTTCACTTCCTTATAATGAATTCTCCCCATCACATTTAAGACCAGTGCCAACATAGAGCATAACACAGTTAATTCTACTTCCAATATCATTTAACTGTAAATGTCTGGAAAAATGTTAACTCATCCTTAAGGGGGAGAGAGAAGGACAGTGAGCTGATTTACTAAGGGGAAGGAAGGGAATAAACCATTCCTATGGCACATCATCAATTCTTGCATCATGGGCAATAGGCGGGCTATGCTTCCTTCAACATGTAAAGTAAAGGTAAAGGTTCCCTTGCTCGCAAGCCAGTCGAATCCGACTCTAGGGTCGCGGTGCTCATCTCTGTTTCAAAGCCGAAGAGCCAGCGCTGTCCGAAGACGTTTCCGTGGTCATGTGGCCAGCATGACTAAACACCAAGGCACATGGAACACTGTTACCTTCCCACTGAACCTATTTATCTACTTGCAATTTCTTGCTTTCGAACTGCTAGGTTGGCAGGAGCTGGAATTAGAGACTCCGTCATGTGGCACACTCGGGTCTCGAACTGCTGAACTACTGACCTTCCACAGCCTGCAGTTCAGCGTCTTAAACACTTGAGCCACCACAGCTTTGACATAGACAGAACAGCAAATTATAATGTGTTTTGGTGATCATAATCACAAACACCGTAAGTTATTAAAAAAGAAAAAGATGTAACCATCCATGTACATGCAATGCCTACCAACTTCAGAAGAGCACCAATCACAATGCATTTGAGTATCTTTAGGATGCAGAAAACTGTATGTCTTGGGCACATAAATGCAAACAAAAAGCATTTTAGGACACTAATCTTCATACAATAGAGAATGCTTTCCTATCTCTAAGAGACTGCCAGATCACTTGAGATTCCATATTGGCTGGAAAATTAAAACTATCTAAACCAGTGATGAGTTAGAGCAATAAGTTTTCCAACTTTCTACTGATAAACAACTCTTTCCAAATTGGTTCATACCTATGGAACCCAACCACTTGGAAGTGGACCCTGGAATATGTTTTAAGGCATGTATACAGATTCCAAACTTCAGTTTGCAAGAGGTGAGCAAGGTTGTTAATGATAGGACATTCTGGAAGACATTAATTCATAGGGTTGCCATAAGTCTGAAGCAACTTGACAGCACTTAACACACACACACACAGAGTTCACACTGGGTATGGACTAGGCATCTCATGTCTCATTAGAGATGCTGAAGTCCAGTGGAAGGGGGAAAAGGGAAAATATCCCCATGAAATGATTTCTCTTTTAGAATGAATTAATGTTTAAGACAAAGCTTTAAAGTAGAGTGGTTAAAATGTCAGACTCGGATTGGGAAGACCCAAGTTCAAATCACCAAACATCCACAAAAACTCACTGGGTGACTGTGGGCCAGTCATTGTCTCTCAGCCTAAGTCCACTTCACACAGTTGCTATTGTGAGGATAAAATGGAAGAGGGGAAAGCAGTACTGTAAGCTGCTGTGGGTTTGCATTGCAAAGTGGGATATAAACAGCAATATTGTTCTTGCTATCCTTTATTCCCTAAAATAAAGCCAGTTTGGTGGAGTGGTTAAGAGCGGTGGACTCTAATCTGGAGAACTGGGTTTGATTCCACACTCTACCACATGCGGCTAGCTCGGTGACCTTGGGTTAAGGTTGCCAGGTCCCTTTTGCCCGCTGGTGGGGGGGGACTTTCCAGGAGCAGGAAGTGATGTCGCACTCAATGTGCCTGCATCACTTGAAAGTGATGTCAGCGACATCAGGGGTGATGCTCTGGATTTTGGACAAAACTCTATGGTAAAATCGGCATCAAGCTACAGAGTTTTGCCCAAAATCTAGAGCATCAGCCGTGACATGCCAACGTCATTTCCAGGTGACACAGACACGTCGCATACAACGCCGCTGTTTTGGGGGGGATTTCCTCCCATCAGCCAGCTGGCTGGCAGCGGGCAGCAGCCCACAAAATTGGGGGAATCCCTCGCACCCACTGGGCGAATGGAAATCCTACCTTGGGTCAGTCACAGTTCTCTCAGAACTGTTCTCTCAGAGCTCTCTCAGCTCCACCTACCCCACGGAGTGTCTGTTGTGGGGAGAGGAAGGGAAGGAGATTGTAAATCGCTCTGAGACTTCAAGTGGCAGGCAGGGTATAAATCCAACTCTTATCCTTCTTCTAAAATGCTTACTAATTAACTGTATAACTACATAAGATAATGTGCAATTGACAGTAACCGTACTATTATCCAGCAGGACACTCTCAAAGCACTTTCAGTTCCTTAAAAAACAATTGCCTATTTCTGTTCTTAGTGGTAGGCTGTGTTCAGACTGGCACATTTTACAAACGGATTAAACCAGCAGGATCACACAGCCACATCTGTCAGGCATTATCCGGGTGTACTCACCCCATCAGAGGACAACTTGGAGCCGGGTTAAAAAGCCACCACCTCTGAAGTGGTGTTTTTGTTTCCCCGCACATTCATTGCGCATGGCCGGATGTCTGAACATGGGGAAGTGCACGCAGAACGGATTTGGCACTGTGAACCTGCAGATCCGTTCTGCTGCTACAAAGGCGGTTTTTTTAAAGACTTGCCTATGTACGCTTGCATGTGCATGCGCACACACATGGTGTTTGGATTTATTTTTTTTGCAGTGCACTCCATGGCTGAGGCACCACAATAATATGGAGGCTTTACAACGGGATGTTTCCGTGGGTAACCCACAGCAGGGTGTACTGTGTGGCTGATATATCCCACTACACTTTAACCCGGTTCAATTAGAGGCGGCACCATACTGCGCCAAGTCGTCAGAGTGATCACAGCCCTAGAGGTGTTTATTTTCAGAGTTCTTTCAAAATGTGTTTTTCTTCTATTTCCAAACAATGCTATATGGAGGGTAAACTGTTTCTAAGACAGTTCTAATAAAGTTTCTTGTGCTTCCTACTATGTTGACTGTTTCTTCCACTCCCCTGCATGCCCCCACAACCAACTGTTAAAATGATGAAGTACTGTAAATGAATGCCATGCCTAACACTGGGTACATCGGTGACTAGTGTTTGGTTAAAATGAAGTCATTTATACCTTTACATTTCATAACAGTGGAGTATGATGTGGTATTATGTATTTGACATTAAAGTAGTAAGTAACTTTAGAACTAAGTATACACTGTACATTCCCCCCCTCTTCCAAATTTCTTTTCCAAAACACCATGCGTTTTGTTCAAGGGTTCAAAATTTCCATATATTTTATGTACAGAGCTATAGCTCATCATAAATATGTATACAAAATAACATACAAAATAAATATGTAACGTGTGTTTATGATCACCACTATGTGAGGTTTTCTAGGAGATCTACTTGGTATATTTACGACACAAATAAAGAACAGTAAAGTTTCAAAGGTGACTTTTTAAAACATGTTTTGAAACTAACCTTTCCATCAGAGTTTGTTGTTACTTTCTCCACTTTGTTCCTGGTTAACAGCCTTCTCACCTGTTCTTCAACTTGTACGTTGAATTTCATGAAAGTCACATAAGTAATATAAGCACTCAGAAGTGTTAAGCTTTCCCACCACATAATTGCGTTATCCAAAAAGAAGATGATTAGCAATATCAAGTCCATGATGTAAAAACTCACATCCCGAAACAGTGGCCACCAAGTAAGGTGAAGTACCTCTTTAGAAAACAAAGCACACATTCCAATAACAAACAGAATATTAAATACTGCAGATCCAACTATTGTCCCAATGCCAACATTGCTGTGAGATATAAAGACGCCTATCAGAGAAGTAAAGAGCTCTGGGGCCGAGCCACCAGCGGCCATGAACGTTGCTCCAGCCACATCATCAGAAATTTCCAGTTTTTCCGTGATGACTGTCAGTGACGGAACAAAGAACTCATCACAGACAAGGGCTAAGGCTATGAACATGTAAATCATTCCACAAATGTGTAGGAGTACAGCACCCTGTCTTCTTTGTTCAAGAGTAAAAAGATCTTCCGGATATTCTCCCTTGGAATGTTCAGAAACATTCTGATCAAGTTTCATAAAAAAAGGTGGATCTAGAGTGCCATTTTGACTCTGGTCCTGAATGTTCAAAAGAATTCTTTGATGCATTTGCGTTAACTTTTGGCTAACTAGATTGTTTGTCATTTCGCTGCTATAAGATTCCAGCTCAAAAAAGGCACTAACTGAAAGAGAGAGTGTGCTAATGGCCATAATTCCCAGGAGAAGTCCTGTTATTCGTATCAGTCTCAGTTTTTTCCTAACATTTTGACGCTTCTTACAGTCAAAGGCTGGGTCTTGCACACACCTTTCCTCAAGCGAACTAACAACATGGTTTTTACACTGAGCCATTGTACGTCCTTCCTGTGTCACTGTGGCCCAAGGATTTAGAGTCACAGAGGTTGTTCTGTCATTCCTTCAGAGTTAAAGTAATAGGTGTTTCGGTGACCTTCTTCAGAATGAAGGGTTTTTATGCTTCATGGGGAGCGTATACATTGGTTGTGCTTAAAAAGCAAAAGAGAAATATTTTTTATCAGTTTAGATGTTAGAAACCTGATATGTGAAAATATGTTTTCCTGTGGAAAAAAAGAAGTTAAATACTATTATATGCAATCAAATAATCACTGCACTAAAACAAAACTGATCTAAGGCTGCTTCACTTATTACACAGCAATAAACCCAGGCTGTCCATTAAGAGTAGATTCAGAAGGGAATCTTCCTTTTTATAGCTGATTTGAGCTATATTTATTTTCTTTGTTTTCTTACAACTATGGCTGGACCCATTTACTTATTTCTTTGAACAGAAGCTAGATCTGGCTACTTATAGGACCAGGCATTACAGGAAACCTCTGCCCAGCCCCCCCTCCCCCCTCCCCAAACCTTTCTCAGAACATTGCATTATGTGTCTTTGGAAATATATATTGCATGGATGGAATTGTACAAATTCATTATTAAGTTAAAAAAAATCCAAAGACTGCAATGTTAGGAAGACATACATAGCTATTTGAAATATCCAAATATGAATGGAGGGAGTATGATAGGCTGAGTGTGCCAAGGATTTTTTTTTTGTTTCTTTTGGTTTTTTTGAAGCTCAGTCACCAGTTCTGTGGAGCTGAAGCATCAGTACCAGTATTTAAGCGACTTTAGCTAGTTGATACTCACTGAAGTCAACCAAAGTATACCGGCTTAAATCCAGGCACTTTACCAGAGCTTTAGATCCATCTGAAAGTTATTTATTTCAGATATCAAATCACTAACGTATCCAATTATGAAAATACAGTCAGCAACATTGAACAATAAAGTTAAACTCCATTCTCAAAACTGTACCACTGCCTTTTAACAGTACAGTGAGAAGACTGAATAGTACTGAAGATGAAACATTTACCAGGGGGTAAGTCAAATATGTCGTTCTCCCTTTTATACGTATTCAGTTCATGTGCATAAACCTACATTTCTATCAAGTAAATACCAAATATGTAATTCATCTATACAATTGTTTGAGAATAAATACTTGGAAATTTATTCCTGTAAGTATGTGAAAAGACTGCAAGCCAAACTTCAGAACACGTTTACGACTACAGCGCAGAACAGAAAGCAATGCATCTTCAGACCTAGAAATTCACTGTTTCTGCCTCTAAACTCTTTAATCTACAGTTTATAATCCCACACCAGTGAGACAAACAGAAAAGAGATGGGCACAAAAGACTATACAGTCTATTATAAAAGCAGAAGTTAACATTCTTCCAGACTCTCTCATGACTTTTCCCTCTTATCCTACCAGAGACTTGGCCTGAATTGAACACATCCACTATTAAGTAACCAGGATATACTTGGGGTTGCAGACTTAACTATTCTCAAAGCCTCTCCTCATTCAATCCCTGGTCATCCCTCAGATTCACTGCCTTGCACTTTTCCTAGTGAACTGATCCAATTATCATAGAGATCAAACGCTCCTTGTACTGTCTTTGCACTTGAGGAACCCCAGCCTATTATGAGGAGGCTGAAATACTAATTTCTTTCCAGCCCAGACCATTATTCCCCAAACACTGAAATTCCCAACACTGCACACGGAAGGGGGAGGGATAGCAGTCAAAAAGAGCAGAGGTTGTTTTTGGTTTTAATTTGCCAAAAGGAACAACCACCACATTTCCTCCCAAGAGTCCTGTGACAAACTAAATAACAGAATACTGTGAACAGAGGCATCTGAGGGAATATTCCAGGGGTCCGTGTGAAGGGCATCCCTAGGAAGTTCGGTGTCAGAAGCAACAAAAGTGCATTATGCAAACATTATGCGTGAGGATAACTTGTGGGAGGTAAGTGGAGTTCGGCGGGAGTTTGCGAAAGGAGGCTGACACGGGCTGCGGACCCTGCAGAAGAGGTGATGAGAATCCCATTTCTCGCCAAGTCAGAAACAGCCAGTCAACACCCGAGGGTCTGAGGGGACAGCGCGCTCTCCCTGTCCCCCCGTCCCCCCCACCGCCCGCGCCGTCCTTTAACCAATAAGGGGAACTCGTCGCTCTCCTTCTCGTACCCATCTCTCTCTCTCTCTTACCCAAAAGCGCACTCCGGGCTCGCACAGAAGGTAGCCGGCATGAGTGGAGCGCCGCGCTCTGCTCGACTGCGAGGGGGAGGCTGGTTCCCTCGCTCGCTCGCTCGCTCTGCCTTCCCGCTCTCGTTCCTCCCCTCCTGGAAGTGAAGGGCAAAAGCAAGCGACGGCGTCCGCTCGGGTGGGGAGTGGGTGTTGTCAGCGGGCGGCAGCCGCCTCTTACCCGGCCATGTGAGAGGCCGAGCTCCGGGTGAGAGACTGATCCGCGCCCACAGCCGCACACCATCCGCTGCCGCCGCCGCTGCTCAGCTCTGTTCGGCGGGAGCTGCTACTCTTCCTCCTCCGTCCACGCCCACAGCTGCGGCGGGATTCGCTCAGGGACAGGTGCGATGCTGAGCCCTCCTTCTCTGGCGGAGCGTGCACGCCCCTCGCCTCTCCCTACCCCACCCCACCCCCCGTTTGAAGAGCCGCCCTGGCCAAGCCGGTGCACCTGTAAACAAAAAAAAGGGGGGGGGACTTAACCCTGAAACCTAGGATCAAGAACCTAAAAAGGTCAGTCAAGCAGAGTAGAGGGCCAACCATTAAAACTTAATATATAAAATACAGAAAAGTACATGTATTTATTTGTAAAGAATTAAAAAAACATATAGGGGCCCAATTTAGGGTTGCCAGCCTCCAGGTGGGGCCTGGGGATCTCCTGCTTTTACGACTAATCTCCAGCTGACAGAGATCAGCTCCCCTGGAGAAAATGGCTGCTTTGAAGGGTGGACTCTATGGCACTGTACCATGCTGAGGCTCCTCCCCTCCCCAAACCCTGCCCTCTCCTGGATCCACTCCCAAAGTCTCCAGGCATTTCCCAACCCAGACCTGGCAACCCTAGCCCAATTACACCTCATATAAAAATTGCAAAATCATACACACAAGAGCCAATGGACTTGACCTGATGCATTTCAGCCTGTTTCGGCCTTCTTCAGAGGTCAAACACAATGAGGAACAAATTGGCTTATACCATAATATAATACAATTATACAGTATGGATACAAAATGGACAAGAAAATAATGGCTATAAAAGACAAAAAACAGGTGAAATTAAATACATATAATAAAATGAAGAAATAAACAATGTCTATATTATACTAAAAAAACCCATATTGACTTACTTCCAAAGTGAAACTACTAGGCATAGAATGAAAGTATAAAGGAGACCTCCCAAGATCCAATCACATGCCAAATGATATTTCACTCATAATAATCTAGAAGAAAAATATATATTAACCAATGCAATCTATCATATTGGAACTTAATCCAAAAGTGATTAATAAATAAAAATTATTTTATCTGGCCTAGTGGTTTCGTTTTGGAAGTAGGTAATAGCCCTTGTTAACAAAGTGCTACCAGTGGTTAAAGTTGACAAGTGGCAGTTTTTTGTTGCTTCACTGGATAACCTGCTCCTATGCATGTTAAGCCTCTCCATCACTGATGCCTCAGGCAGCTCATCCATATCGCTGATTGTTCAGAAGCAGCTCCTACTCAGATCAATTAGATTTACTCGTTCCCAAGTAAGTATGGTGCAAATCGCTTTTTAGGTTATAACAGAAGAAAAAGGAGAGTTGGATTTATACTCCGCCCAGCAGTTTACAATCCCCTTCCTCTCCCCACCATAGACACCCTGTGAGGTAGATGGGGCTGAGAGAACTGCACTTGAAAGAACAGCTCTGAGAGAACTGTGACTGACCCAAGGTCACCCAGGTGGCTGCATGTGGAGGAGTGGGGAATCAAACCTGGTTCTCCAGACTACAGTTATTAGATTAATTTTTAATCTTCTTTTAATGGTTTATTGATGTATTTTAAAAAATTGGAATATTGTAAAGGTGCACTTCTTTTTTTGTATGACTGGTCTAAGGACCGTAACAATAAACCAAACACACTGAACAGACTAGAGTCCGCCACTCTTAACCTCTACACCAAACTCGCTAGGCACACTTTACGGTTTGTAAAAGGTCAGTGTTGACGGCTGCAATCAAATGAATTTAATGGGACTTATTATGCAAACACGCAGAGCAGTTATAAATGTCTACGTCACTTCGCAGTGAAGGTTGCCAACTTTTTAATTGGGAACTGTAGGACGTGTCTTTGATAGCTACTTGATGAGCAGACACAAACAAGTGATCATGTTGCACATGAATCTACTGTTAACAGCGCAAGAACACACCAGGCCTTTCTCCATCTTCTCAGCTGAAATCTCCAAAGCAGCTTATGGTTATAAAAGTAAAATAATACCAAAGTCAATAAAACCAGCAAGTAAGTATATTAAAAATGCTTTTTTTATCTAACAAATAGTAAAGCAGGATCCTGTCATGCATAAACAATAATTTTACTTTTACTTTCATTGAAGTAGCTCTCATTAAAATCAAGTAAACACAGGACAGTTAACTCTACCCCCTAACCCCAGACTCTTGTGCTTTTAAAAATGATTTGTTAAAAATGTAGCTGGTGGGGTTTTTTCCCCAGAAAAGAGGTCAGAGAATGCCCTTTTCATTAATTCCATCTGTGCTGGATTGCTGCTACTATTCAGTAGTGACAGAACTCTGTGATGTTCTCACATGACATATATCACTTAGGGCTACTCTAAGAGCAATGTTTTGTAACGTAATGCAGGCAAAGACAATACAAGGCAGGATTCTTAACATCAGCTTTTATTTGTCTGTCCCTCTTATAGCCCCCGCTTTACTTTCTCCATCTTTCTTTCCTCCCTTCATTCCATTCTGCTTTCCACCTTTAATAATGAGGATCTTCTTCTGCTCAG